GAATACTAATGTATCATTTATATCCCTAATCTGATATATCATGATTTAAGAATGAAGAAGCCTCATTTTATCATAAATTTTTTATGACAAAAAAAGTTAGGTCTTTGTTTTTTTTTAATTTTATGTATGATTTTTTTATAAAAAAAAAATTACAGCATAAAAATAAGAATAAAAGTTATAAATACTAAAATTTAAATCTATATATTACCTGGTAAAGATAATTTTATAAATTAATTGGTATGATTATATTAATGCTTACGCCTATAGCTTTGGTAATTATTTTCAATGTTATGATGAAATTTCTAACGGACTTATTCTTAAAAAAAAACACATTAACTTTCAAAGTACTCTAATAATAAAAAGTATTATGTAATTGCTTACGTAATACCTTTAGTATTGCAGTAAAAAATTTTCAATGTTATAATTACATTCCGTACGAAAAATCAAATTGACAAATACTTCAATGTGTTAATTCTTGAAATCTAATTACCAAAACAAGTTAGGCAGTGTCAAGCAGTTGAAATTTGAAAAAAGTTCATGATTTTTTATGTGATGAGTTGTACATGACAATATTCCCTTTGACCTTTCTTTTTATCTATTTTTTAAAATATCTTAAAGTTCTATTCTATTTTTTTTAACATTTAAAATTTTTATTTTTTTATGATTTTTTTAAATTTTTTGATATTAAAAATCATGAAATTTTAATTTTATAAAACAATGTAAATTTTAATATTAAATACATTAAAATCATTTTTTTTACTCCATGAAAATCAATATCACTCAAATAATTTAGGATGGAGAGAATATATATTATTGCTTACATAATGAAAGATTTTAAATATATATTCATCATTAAATTAAAATCTTGTCGAATTATAAAAATTTAATTTATTTAATTTATACAATTAATTTAAAAAATAATATTCAACAAATTTAGAGTTAAAATTTTAACTTTTGTAACTTTTTTCTTTTCATGTTGCGATTTTCTATGTAAATAAAATATAAAATTTTACTAAAGTTGAAATCCTTAACATACAGACTGATAGGCCATATTTTTTCATCAATTTTTGCTTTTAAGGATTGTTGAAAACGTCATCTTCATTGTGGACATGAATTTTAATTTCTAAGTTGAAAATTTGAAGATAGACATATGATAGAGATGGATCATGAAAAACTCTTTATTTTTCTCACATTTAATTTTGCAGAATGCAAACCTTAATCAAGTAATGGACTAAAATAAAATTGTTTGTGTAGTGTTACTCCATATCTAATGAATATTTAATTTTTTATAGTTTTATATTTAAGTTGAGCCCCTTCACTTATAGCCAATTAATGTTAGAAAAAATAAATAAGAGTAGAGGAATAATAAAAAAGAATTTTGATTTTGAGGTGTGAAAAATATTTTTTTAAAGGTAATTATACTTTTAGGATATAATAAAGCTTCAAATTCTCTAATTAGAAGCAGTAAAAATGATTATAGTGAAAGATTTATTTATAATGAATGAACAGACATAAATTTTTATTTAAATGATTATGACCTTATGTATAATCATCACTTTTATGAATAATAATTTATTTATATTCAAATAGTTATGACTGTTTATTATATGATAATTATTTTTATTCAAACATAATTATTTAAATATGAATACAATAATACAAAATTATTTTTATTCATCAATAAATAAATCTTTCTATTTAATGTAATATATATCACATTCTAAATTATCAACAATTAATTTTAAGTTGGATATTTAATATAATATCAAAGTCAGAATTTCTTTTTGTTGCCATTTCCAAATCCGTTACGTAATAGGCTTCTTTCATCTTCACTTACACTGATGAGGACTTGTTAATGTAGTGTTATTTTATATATAATGAATATCTAATTTTATGTAATCTTATATTGAAGTTGGATCCCTCCACTCACTATCAATTAGTTTTAAGTTATATGTTTGACAAAATTTTCTTATTAGCTAAACTGTGTGAAATTCAAAGGTATGAATATTAATAAAGATTTTGCAAAAAATGTGACAAGTTTTTCTTATAATGTATCTAATTTTATAATTTGTAAACAAGTCAAAAAATGCTAATTAGGTTTCAATAATATATCAAATCAATGGTTAAGTGGGAAGGAAATGAGTTTTGCACCTTAATTGTATTGATTATACGGCACTCATACTATGATTTAGTATTAATTGTGTGATAGACATGGAAATTTTATTAGAATTATTATTCTTAGTTCACATCATAGACAAGAAATTAACTAATTAATTATTTGCAATTAATTGTTAATTATTTTGTGACATATGCTAAAATGATGAGTCCAAATCATTTATCTAATCTTGGATTTTGTCATTGACATCTCGATGTATTATTAGCATTTGTTTTTATAAGAAGGTATATAGCTTCACATCCAAAGCCTCCTCTTTTAATTAACTCTTAATCAATACTCAAGTGAAATTTCAACTTTATAAGTTATTAGTGATAATAATTAACTTTTTTTTTTTTATTTTGGCAAATGAGGTCGCAAGATGAGGGAAATTAAATCTTAGATATATAAATATAATTTTTTAAGAATAATTGTATGAATAAATTTAATTTAATTTAAATTCATAATTAACTTATTTTTAATGGCTAATGTATCTAATTGATAGGGATAAAAAGATTTTGGATTCAAATTTCTTTTCATCCAAACTATTATTAAAAAAAGGAGTCGCCACATAGTTCATTTTAGATATTAATGTTAATTGGTTCATGTCACATTTGATTTGTTCAACTTGATTAATATTATTGCAGAATAATTTGGACTTTGTGGCCTGAGGTCCATGGGGTAGAATTTTTTACTAGGATGCTAGAAACGCAGAACAAAAAGAAGAATACATACATACATATATATATATATATATAATTCTTTGCCTCTTTAGAGTACCCAACTTGAGGAGTCGGTCTATATTACTTAAATTAATATTAAGAGAAATATTATTTTAAAAAAGAAAGTATTAATCATGTGATCAAATAACTCTTTTTTTTTTTCTTATTTTGTTAAATTAATGTTGAATGAACAACTTAGCTAAGCCAGAATCAAATTGGGTAGGCATCGAAAAAGTCCAAATATCAAATACCTGATCCATTTGAATTCTGCAATATACAAATTATATTCATCTTAAAACATGGAGGGTAGTCAGTAGTTATGTAGATTTATCCAGCTAAAATTACTATTTAATTGATATTCATTAGTAATTTTACTAAAAAAAAATAGCCCGAGCCAGGTCGGACTGGGCTGAGAAAACCTTGTTCAAGGTCCAGTCATTGGACGGGTAGGTAACAATTAGTTTTAACTATAAAGATCAATGACTTTGAATACCTTCTTTCTTTTTTTTTTTTTTTTTTTTGAAGTTATAGCTGCAAATACCACATTTCAAAAGAAAACAAAACAATTTACATCCCTTTTGTTTATAAGGATTTCTTTTTTTTTTTTTTTGAAAAAAGAATAAATATTTTGATACTTCAATGAGAAAAAAACAGATGAAAGATGTAAATCCATTTTTCTTTTTCTTTTTTTTTTTTATTACAAGGGAGGAGAAATAAAGTTAAGATATTAGAAAATCTCAAAAAAAAAAAAACTCTGTCAACGCATATGTTGAAGAAATGTAACTACAAAGCTTGAAGAAGATTGCAAATTTTCATAATCCACGTTCAAAAGATATTCTAGAGGTAACTGTTGATATAGATAAAACAATCATCTTTAATCCCATAAATTTGTTTTTTTTTTTTTTAAGATTTAAATTTAAAACTTTTAAATGATTGGAAATATAATCAAATTCTAATAATTAGTTTCCCTATCCATTAAATAATAAGAAAATGATATTATAAAAAACAAGTCCTACAGATGATAATATGATTGGTAAAAAAACAATTCTTTCATGCAAAGACTATATAATTGATCCTATTAATTAAGATTTGTTAGAGTATTTAAATATTTGATTCAATAATATTAATTTATTGCTTAAAAACATGAGTTTTGATTGGATAAGAATGATTACATATGCTCGTTCAATGGAAATTGAGTTAGAATCTGTCATCCATTAAAAAATTAATTATGGGAAACAAATAATTATGTTTATTTGTTTACCAAATTAAAGGATTAAGAGTTTATTAAAAAAATTAAGGGATTAAAAGTGGATATAATTAAATATCTTTTTTCAACAGCTATTTTTTTCGAAAAAACAATTTTTCATGAAAAGTTAATCGGGTTGACATCAGATATAACTTACGTGCCATTTTATTTACATTTTCCAGGTGGCAGAGGCTGAAAATTTTCTCACCGAAGAAAGGAAAAAAAAATTGTTAAAGTATTTTCGTGAATGCCGAACAACTTTGAAGAGATATCTTCAAACATTTATTAAACAGAGCAAAACATATGTGGCGACACGTTGCGTGAACGTATCAGTCATCAAACTAAACAGCAAAATGGCAACTTGTTTCAGTTCTGTCTTAGCTGCCGTCAAATACAGAGAAAATTTCCCATGTAACCGAGCGAGTAGTATGTACTCTGACCTTCAACATTTTTCAGCTAGGAAAATTACACGTGTTAAAGGAATTAATCATTTATTTTTATTTGGACGGAAATCCTGATTACTAGGCTTAAGTTAGTCAACATCAGGGGAGGCGCGGATGATAAATTTTCCTATCATCGACGGTTTGGCTGGTTTTTGGTAGTTCAAGATTAGCATCCACGTGTCGGGTAGGTCATGCCCTAAGATTTTTCCTCTCGTGAACTCACATCTCCAATTTCTCGTTCCGATAAATTCAAATTTTATTTCAATTATTTTGCCTTAATAAGATAATTCCAAGAATATTCTCAAATGTAGGGCAGGCAGGCATCCAATTAAAATATCGTTTCCAAATCTCTCGAATTCTCGCGTTATTTTAAATTCTTTTTTTCTTTTTAATTTCTAAATTTTCTCCTCTTACTGTTCATCTTCCTTCATTGTTGGACACTATAAAAGAGGCCAAATCCTCCATGGATTGTATCAACGCCAAACGATTTCAAATCTTCACAGCTCTCTTACAAAAAAAAAAAAAAAGGCTTTCTTTTTATTATTTTTTGTTTTTAATTTCTTTACTTTCTTGCAATGGCGTTTAAGAAAACCATGGCGGAGAAGCTTTTCAATATTTCGAAAATTTCTTCGCAAGTTCTTACCAACTGCCGGATTTCCTCATCGACGATTCAAAATCGAATCTCGCAAAAAGAGATGAAAGCTACAACAGCAGTGGCGCATGATCCTGGAGACTTTAACGGTAACGGTAAAGGTACCGGCAATGGCATGTTCAGGCGGTTTCTTCATAAAGGAGCTATGGTTGCACCGACAATGAGGAAGTTACCAATGGGAGAGAATTTACTGGAGAGGTTAAGGGAATTTGATAGTTTCAGGGATCGGATCCGGTTGGACGGATTGAGCCCGCACTTGGCGGCGAATTTGGAGGTGCCGGAGGTGCCTGCACTGTCGGTTCAAGAAGCGAAGAAGTTGTTAAGGGTGGCCCAATTGGAGGCGGTCAAAACGAGGCTGAGAGAGACCGGGAAAACCTGGATTTCTTATTCGGACTTTATTCGGATCTGTGGAGGAAGTTGTTCGGATCCGGAACAAGGTTTGCAGTTCGCGAAATTACTGGACGAATCTGGAACCGTCGTCATTTTGGGAAACGTCGTCGTTTTACGATCCGAACAGGTAGATAAAATTTATATTAATTATTTCTTAGAAATTTCTATTTCTGCAGATAGGATTTTATTTGTGTTTTGGCTTTCAGATTATAGAATGCATAAAAATCATCATATGCATATGGTGGTCGAAAAAAAGATAGGTTTCAAATTCACGAACTTATTCAGCACTTTCCCTTTTTTTTTTTTTTCTTTTTTTCAGATTTTTTAATTGGAATCTGCTGAAAACTGATATGATTTTTTTGTGGGTATTTTTGTGTTTTGTGTTTTCTCTTTTCGACAGGATTTTTTACGACAGATCTCTAAAAACGTGTAAAAGGTTCCCACGTTAGAGATGGTTTCTGAGAACTGAAGGACCCAAAAAAAAAAAAAGCCCTTCGATGTTTCAACAGTGACGAAAAGATCACAATTTTTTCGGTTTTCCAATTCATCTCGTGGGGTTTAAGGAGTAAGGCCATGGGATTGGGATCTTCCTCATACCCATTGCCTTTACCCCACCCATTTTTTAAACCCAATAAAAAAAAAAGTAAAATTTGATGCTAATTCATTAAAAGGTAATATTTTAACAGTGAAAAATCAAACATTTTAGGCAAAATTTTTAAATAGATGGGAAAGACACTTGGTTGGATACAATTATGTATATATTTTCCTCCCAACTTTTTGGTATGGGGGGGGAGGTGGGTGATGATTACGATGGGAGGCTTATATTGAGTGCTAACCATATGGGTAGGATGTATTTGGGTGTCAAGATTAGATTTGAGAATATTTACAAAATTATTGAGAAAGTGGAAGAGAATACGAAATGTTGAAGCCGAAAGGTGTTGTTGATATCAGTTTAATTTTAGACGATTAAGGAAGGAGGTTGGTGGGGGAAATAGGACTCTGATTGGTGTTAAGGATACACGGTTCTTTGCAATCTGTTTGATAAGAATCCAACTTGTTGGCAAAACCGTAGTTTTTCATTCACTTTTTTTTATTTAATTACAGAGGGACCTGGATTTGCCTTGATAAGGATAGGCTTCATCTTTGACTTTGAGCATTATTCCTTTTTTTTTATTATTTCTTATTACTACTTGCTTTTGTCAATTAGTCAATTTTTGTTTATTTGATTGTTGTCATGGTGATTCTTTTTGAGTTGTCATAAAACCAAAAAAAAATAAAAGTCCCAACATTCGTCAGAAAAAAGAATGTAGGTTGAGGTTGAGCCATGTTTTACCCAAACGTGTTCTGGATTTTCTGATTACAGGTAGCAAAAGCTCTCGGAGATCTAATTCCTTTACCAGGACCCAATCCGAATGACCCAAGAAGAAAAGAATTGGCAGAGTTGGAGAAGGAGAAAGCCACCATTGATAAAAAAGCTGATTCCTTGGTCCGTCGAGAACTCTGGCTCGGTCTAGCCTACTTGGTGGTTCAAACAGCCGGGTTCATGAGACTAACATTTTGGGAACTCTCATGGGATGTCATGGAACCCATTTGTTTCTATGTCACATCCGTTTATTTCATGGCTGGCTATGCATTTTTCCTCAGGACATCCAAAGAACCTTCTTTTGAAGGTTTTTACCAGAGCAGGTTCAGCACAAAGCAAAAGCAGCTCATCAAGGCTTACAATTTTGATATCGAGAGGTATAATGAGCTTAAGGGAATTTTTTATCCACATTCATCATCAAAACAAGCCTCGTCGGCTTCCTTTGATCATTCTGAGAAGAGGCATATTGGTGGTTTAGATCAATGATGATCGAAAATACTGAAGGAAAGACGAAATAGAAATAATACAATTTTGTTTTAGGAGTAACAGCGGCTTTCTGTAACATTCCGTCAAGAGTTTTTTCTTTTTCACAAAAAACCTAACAACTCCTTCCCCTCTCTCTTTCCTATGTTTAAACATATATTCAGTCCTCTGGCTAAACATATATTCAGAAGTGAAGGTTGATCCAACACAGGCTATAAAATCTATATAGCATAGTTAAAGAAGTTAGTCCAAAAAATTGACTTTTTTATATATATAATCTTGGGTTATGTTAGGAAAGTCAGATCCAACCCTTTGGACCAATCAAAGGTCCGAGGCTTTACCTTTTTTTTTTTTAACATTGAGTCTTAGCTATTTAATAAAATAATATAAAAATTATTTTAAGGTGAAAAAAAATGTAGTCTCGTAAACCAAGAAAAAAACAAGGAAAAAAGAAGATAAAAAAATAGAGAAAAAAAAAAGAAAATGGAGAGTTGAATAGAAGTTAAAATTTTATTAACAGATTTATGATTCAAAGTTTTATATTTTGAACGATGAAAATTAAGTTTGAAGTTGTTTGAAAATAAATTTATTGTGTATTTGTTGAGTTATCAATTTGGTAAGATTTTTTCAATTATTTTTTTACATGTTGATTAGTTTTAGTTTTAGCTAATAAAAATTTATATATCCATTATTTGATAGTGGAGTTTTTTTCTGATGATCCGTGATTTTTTTCCTTTATATTAGAGGGTTTTTCATACAAATCTTGGTGTGCTTTATTTTTTCTGTGTTGTTGATTATTGATTGTTGTCTATTACTGTAGATTTATTGTGATATATTGCTTTTATGTTGTTGTGTTTATAATTTTAGGCCCAACAAGTGATATCAGAGTCAATTCTAAGAGTACTAATGATGTGCCATCGAGGATGATGGGCTTTTATTGGAGTGAGAGATAATGTTATAGTCTTGGAAATGAGCCATGAATCCCACATTAGTTATATATTAGAGTTGGTCTTGGGATATAAGGGTTTACGTCACTTTTAACTTGTGAGACGCTTTTTGTAGGATAAAATCGTGAGCCTAAAGAAGTCAAAACGGATAATACCTTACAAGTTGGTGTGAACCATGATAGTTAGACTGATCTAAGATGTCGGATGAGTCCATGCCCATGTCTTAGAGCTACATGAGCCTGGAGCTTGAGTCTTGGCCCATGATAAGTGGTATTAAAACGAGGGTTATTTTGAGACATCGATACAAAAGCATCCTAAGATAAAAATAAATTCTGTTTAAGATCATGAAGGGCGATACAGGTTTCATGATAAAATTAACAACATTAAATTATTCAATTTAAAAGCCTATGATAGAATATCATTTATACTGCAAAGATTTATATGAACCGATATTAGGTGATTCGACTAAACCAGCAGATATAAAAGATGAAAGTTGAAAGAAGTTAGGAAGAAAGACACTGACTATAATTAGAAAATAGGTTGATATCAGCATATTCCTTTATGTAGTACAATAGACAGATGCCCACATTGTTTGAAAAAAATTAATAGCATTGTATGAAAAAAAAAATAAGTATGAATAAAGTTATGCTTGTTAACAAACTTGTAACTTTATAATACAATGATGGATGATCGATTAGAGAGTACTTTAGTACTTTTCAAGATATATTTAATTGGATGACTAATATAAAGCTTAAGAGAGATGATGAAATGAAAGCATTATTTTTTTGGGTTCATTGTCAGATAGTTAAAATACTCTAGTTATTATTGTTCTTAATTCAACATTCTTAATGAAGAAGTAAGGCAAAAAGATTCAAACTCTAAGAATCAAACTCTGATCACAGAGAACAGTGATAAAAATATCTACAGAGGTCAAAACGTAAAAAGTTGTAGTAAGTCTAAATATAGATCCAAGTTCAGAGATAAAATAAACTATTTCTATTGTGGTAAAGCAAGTCATATAAAATGATATTGAAAAATTTTGAAGTAAAAGCGAAAAGATGAGAAAAGTAAGAGTTCAGATGATGGTAATGTTATAATAGTAAATTCAGATAGTAATTCAGTTACTTTAATTTATACACATAGTGATTATTAACATATTCGTGATCTTGGTATTGAGTGAATAGTTGACATAAGAGCAACAATCATTATGTTCCTAAGAGAGAGTTGTTTACAACTTACAAAATAAGAGATTTTGATTACACCAAGATGAGAAACAATAGTATGTCATAGTTTGTTGAGTTGGTGATATTATTGTACAAACTAGTATGGTCTATATATTGACTTTGAGGGATATCAGACACATTCTGAATATGATATAAATTTGCTTGTTATTAATATTCTTGATAAGGTAAGGTATATTCAAAAGATCTATGGTAGTTGCAAAAAGAAAACTATCATGCATAATGTATAAGACATTGATGCAATTGAACAATAACTAGATAAATGTCATTGAAGATGATGCTTAAGCAAACTTGGGGCATAAGAGATTGATACACATGAACAAGAAAGGGTTACAAATTTTGACAAGGTAGTCTCTCATTCTTTTGACCAAAAGTACATCTCTCGATTCATGTGACCATTATTTGTTTGATAAGCATCATAAAATTTTTTTGTAATAGTTTTCAGAAAAAAGAAAATAGATTAGAATTGATTTATTCTAACATATATGGTCTTATTGAGGTTGAGTTATTAGGTGGTAGCATGTATTTTATTACTTTTATTGATAATGCTTCATATAAGATTTAGGTGTATATATTGAAAAACAAAAGCTAAGTATTGTCGTATTTTTAAAAATTTTATGCCATGATGAAAAAGATGACAGGATTACCCTTGAAGTATATTCGGACTGATAACGGAAAGAAATACACATCCAAAGACTTTGAAGAGTATTGTTTAAAACATGAAATGATAGAACCTGAAACACCATAGCATAACAGTGCAGCTGAAAGGATAAACTGTGCCATTATAAAAAAAATCAGATGCATGTTGAGGATGACAAAATTATCGAAGTCATTTAAGGTGAAACAGTCAACAAAATTTGTTATTTGCTTAATAGATCATCATCAGTTCTTTTGGGTTTGACATTTTAGAAAGAATGTGGACAGAAAAAGATGTTTCATACTTTCACTTAAAAGTTTTTGGGTGTAAAGCATTCATGCATATACTAAAAGAGAAAAAGTCAAAACTTGACAGTAAAGTCACATAATATGTGTTTATAGGATATAGTGATGAAAAATTTAGCTACATGGTATGAGATCCAGTGAAAAGAAAGACAGTCGAAAGCAGAGATATAGTCTTTTAGAAAAAAAAACCATAGTAAACCTTGAAAAAAATGAAAAGATTACACAAGTTACTATTGAGTGTGATGTTTCAACACCGATAGAAGTTTCAAAAGAAATAGCCATAAATGGTAAAAATAAGCAAGATATAAAAGTTGGAGATATGAATAAGCCAACCATAATTAGTGATAAGCTAAATGCAATCAATTTTAAGTAGGGAGAGCAGTTCTCTTCACCAAAGAGTATTGAGCGAAAGGAGCTACCTTCGACATTAGGTGGTGTAAAGTTTCAGTCTAGGAGATTTACTAGAGAGCAAAGACCATCTACCAAGTATCCAAGTTTAAATTTTATTTTAGTTATCAGTGAGAGGAGCCCAAAAAGCTTTCAAGATGTACAAGCTACTTCGGATATAAAGCATTGGTTAAAAGCAATAAACAAAAGATGTAGTCATTACAAAAAAAATAGCACATATGATTTTGTTAAACCTTTGAAAAGGAAGAGGCTATTGAAAAATAAATGGGTGTTTAAGTTGAAAAAAGATGGTGACAAGCTAGTTAGGTACAAAGCTTGATTGATGGTAAAATATTTTTTTCAGAAACCAAATATCAACTTTGAGGAGATCTTCTCTCCGGTTATAAAGATGAGTTTCATTCGAGTGGTACTGAGATTATCAGTTAGTTTGAATCTTGAGCTTGAGCTTGAGAAACTTGATATTAAGACTGTATTCTTATATAATGACTTACATAAAGACATTTATAAGAATCAACCCGATGGTTTTGAAGTGAAAGGAAAAGAGCACTTAGTTTGTAAACTGAAAAAAAAAAACTTGTATGGCTTGAAACAAGCTCTACGATAGTTGTACAAAAAGTTTGATTCTTTTATAATGAGCCATAGTTATAAAAAAATGTAGTAGATCCTTATATGTATATCAAAAAATTCTTTGATGGTAACTTCATTATTCTCTTATTATATGTTGATGATATGTTGATTGTTGGACAAGATACCAATATGGTTCATAGGTTAAAAGAATAATTATCTAAGTCCTTTGACATGAAAGATTTAGGGCCAATAAAGTAGATTCTTAGTATGGACATTATCCGAGATAAGAGAGCTGAAGTGTTGTGGTTGTCACAAGAAAAATATGTTGAACAGGTTCTTAATAGATTCAACATGCAACATGCTAAATCAGTTAGCAGTTCACTAACAAAATCATTTTCATCTAAATAAGAAATTTTGTTCGATGGCTAAGGAAGAGCAACTAGCTATGTTTTGTATTCTTTATTCTTCTGCAATCGATTCTTTTAATATATCTTATAGTTTGTACACGGCCTGATATTACTTATGCAGTTAGTCTAATAAACAGATTTTTTTCTAATTTAGGAAAGGTTCATTGAAAAGTAGTGAAATAGATTCTTAAATATTTGAGGGGCACTTTAAAAATGTGCTTGAGTTATGAAGTTTCATAACCAATTCTAGAAGGATTTATAGATGCTGACATGGCAGGTGATTTTAATTGTAAAAAATTTACTTCAGGATATTTGTTCATTTTTGTAGTAGAAGCTGTATCTTGACAATCTAAGTTATAGAAGTATGTTGCTTTGTTCACTATAAAGGCTAAGTATATTACAGCAACTGAAGCAGGTAAAGAAATGTTTTAGATAAAATATTTTCTTTTGAATTGAGGTTGAATCGGAAAGAGTATGTGATATTTTGTGATAGTCATAATGCTTTAGATTTGAATAAGAATGTCATATACCATGCTAGAACGAAGCACATTGATGTTAGATATCACTGGTTATGTTTAGTGATTGAGGAACAGTGGATACTATTGAAAAAAGTTCATACTGATGAGAATGTAATATATATGTTGACTAAAACACTTCTCAGGGAAAAGTTTAAACTATGCAGTAACTTGGTTTG